CGTATGAACGTTTTCCAGGTCGTTTATAACATTCGTATGAGCTCACAGGAGTTTTCGAAAGAGAATTTACACAGTGTAGCATAGAACTGTACATAATAGTGAATTAAAAGCCTTGTTTTAAAAGATAAAACTTGAAGAGTGACTCAAATGGTCGTTTTTTAAATAATTTTGCGCATAGTTACATAAAGGCCATTTGCTTACTACAGTCTTTAATTTTGAAATGTTAAATTAAAGAGAAGGCACAAATATTGGGATCTGACCGTTACTATTATAGCGTTTCCTCACCCTCAATGTGCGGGGCGCGTTTTTGTGGAAATGGGTCACAAACCATGAATCCTCTGAATTCATATTTCGAACACGATAACTATTAGGCCAATCCTGCTCTACACTTAAAAACTTCATTCAAGATAAAAAATATGTTAAGTGAATTTATGTATGATATAACCTAAAGTATATTAGATAAAAAAGGAAAAATGTAAGAAAAATAACTCTGTAGCAACCAGAAAACTAATTAATTATTTAATAAATATAAATCAGATAGGTTCACGATATTTATATAGGTTTTTACATGAGAGAGAGAGAGAGTTATCAATATTCTACGAAGCGTTTTATACGTAGTATATTAATATTAGTTTTGTTACCTCTGTACCTATATTTAACCCAAAACTTCGTGTTTTGACATTTTGTTTCCCTTCACTGAACACTGTTACGTCTTATCGATCATATCTAGATTAAATTTGGTTGACTTACATTTGCCATTTCTCGTAACATTGTATGAAACTTTAACGATTTTCTTATGGCTTGGATCGTTAAAAACAAGTAAATTATTCAAAGGAGAACGATTTCCTCACACACAAGCATCAAATGTATATATATATATATATATTACATTATCTTGGTTTTATTGAAATACTTACCACTAATGTTACGTTTTATTTAATAAAACCATACAATTTGTTAATATCTGTTAGTGATATTACTATGAATGTGTTACATTAGGTAGTAACGATATATTTAATCCATATTTTGTATATATTCTTTGAAATGCCTTATTTTTATGGTAGAACCATTATCAAATTGTGATAACACACGGAAATTACACTGTACAGTTAGTTCACTGTAAAATACCGACGTAAGTATCACTTCTTGCTTTTTATAAGCCATTATATTTCAGTGACTACAGTTTCTTTACGGTGTAGCAATGGAATCAAATACTTGTGTTTCCATCGTTAACGTAAGGTACATATGAATACGTATTGGTTAAAGGATTAAGTTTCTTAAATTTTGTGTGATAAATACAAAAGCAGCATTGTAATTGTAGTTGAAAACATGCTAAAATATGTGATAGGAGAAACAGTAAACTTTTGTTTATTTGTATTAGTGAAAAGTTACATTTGGCTATCTCCTGTGTCTACCGCGAGGAATCCACGACAGGATTTTAGCGTTGTAATTCCGTAGACTTAACACTATCTCAGTGGAAGGACACGTAAAGTTAGTCAAGTTGTGAACAAAAAATGTAACTTGAGGCTTCGACATGGCTAAAACCGAGATTTCTGGAGATTTGTTTTTTGAAGACCTCACAGATCTTTTCGTTACTTCTTCGTTTTCAAAACGTTAGATATGTTGCCGGAAGAATGTTGTAAAATTTGTTTACACAATAAAAATTTAGTTTTAGCTATTTTTCACCAAGTAAAACAATAAAACGTTTTGTTTTATGTTTTAACACAAAATTGTAAAATATTTTATGACATAAACCTGTTTACCAATATGCACTCATTATTGCAATTGAAATTAACAGAGATTTCGTGTGTATATGGAAAGCAAGTTCCAATATTCAGTTAACACGTACTAACACGCATGTACAAAAACGTACCAAGAGAGAAAACTAAAGGTCAAAAAAGCTGAGGAGATTGGGGAGACATCCTTGGCAATGCCTCTACACCTATTTGGATAATATATATATATGTTATATGTATACGTGTGTGTGTGTGTCTATATATATATATATATATATACACATATAC